AGACGAGTGATGAGTCAGCAGTTCCACCGTCTGATGGCGCCGCGTCGTACTGACTGTGTGACAGCAGCATTGTGGGTAATGGGACTGATGTTAGACCTCCAGTTACTGATGAAGGTTGGATGGATGAGATCTTACAGATTAATGAGACATTGTTTAAATAAATAAAACATTTCAGCTGATGGACTGAGTAACTGTACTAGTTTAATCAATCAATAGTTAATAATCACATTGTAACGGGCTGTGTCATCAATCAATAGTTAATAATCACATTGTAACAGGCTGTGTAATCAATAGTTAATAATCACATTGTAACGGGCTGTGTAATCAATAGTTAATAATCACATTGTAACGGGCTGTGTAATCAATCAATAGTTAATAATCACATTGTAACGGGCTGTGTAATCAATCAATAGTTAATAATCACATTGTAACGGGCTGTGTAATCAATAGTTAATAATCACATTGTAACAGGCTGTGTAATCAATCAATAGTTAATAATCACATTGTAACGGACTGTGTAATCAATCAATAGTTAATAATCACATTGTAACGGGCTGTGTAATCAATCAATAGTTAATAATCACATTGTAACGGGCTGTGTCATCAATCAATAGTTAATAATCACATTGTAACAGGCTGTGTAATCAATCAATAGTTAATAATCACATTGTAACGGGCTGTGTAATCAATAGTTAATAATCACATTGTAACAGGCTGTGTAATCAATCAATAGTTAATAATCACATTGTAACGGGCTGTGTAATCAATCAATAGTTAATAATCACATTGTAACGGGCTGTGTAATCAATCAATAGTTAATAATCACATTGTAACGGGCTGTGTCATCAATCAATAGTTAATAATCACATTGTAACAGGCTGTGTAATCAATCAATAGTTAATAATCACATTGTAACGGGCTGTGTAATCAATAGTTAATAATCACATTGTAACGGGCTGTGTAATCAATCAATAGTTAATAATCACATTGTAACGGGCTGTGTAATCAATCAATAGTTAATAATCACATTGTAACGGGCTGTGTAATCAATCAATAGTTAATAATCACATTGTAACGGGCTGTGTAATCAATAGTTAATAATCACATTGTAACAGGCTGTGTAATCAATCAATAGTTAATAATCACATTGTAACGGGCTGTGTAATCAATAGTTAATAATCACATTGTAACGGGCTGTGTAATCAATCAATAGTTAATAATCACATTGTAACGGGCTGTGTAATCAATCAATAGTTAATAATCACATTGTAACGGGCTGTGTAATCAATCAATAGTTAATAATCACATTGTAACGGGCTGTGTAATCAATCAATAGTTAATAATCACATTGTAACGGGCTGTGTCATCAATCAATAGTTAATAATCACATTGTAACGGGCTGTGTAATCAATCAATAGTTAATAATCACATTGTAACGGGCTGTGTAATCAATCAATAGTTAATAATCACATTGTAACGGGCTGTGTAATCAATAGTTAATAATCACATTGTAACGGGCTGTGTAATCAATCAATAGTTAATAATCACATTGTAACGGGCTGTGTAATCAATCAATAGTTAATAATCACATTGTAACGGGCTGTGTCATCAATCAATAGTTAATAATCACATTGTAACGGGCTGTGTCATCAATCAATAGTTAATAATCACATTGTAACGGGCTGTGTCATCAATCAATAGTTAATAATCACATTGTAACGGGCTGTGTAATCAATCAATAGTTAATAATCACATTGTAACGGGCTGTGTAATCAATCAATAGTTAATAATCACATTGTAACGGGCTGTGTAATCAATCAATAGTTAATAATCACATTGTAACGGGCTGTCTATCACTGTGGTTGTTTGTGTTTGGGTTGTACTGCAGTGTACGGGTTATGGGATGTCTGGGGGGTGGCGCTGTCAGAGGCTGTGAAGCCTGTCAGTCAGGGCAGTTGCCATGGCAATGATAGGTGTGAGATATCACCTGGGAGTGTCGGAGGACCTGTGGGGGGGGGTGTTCGGCTGGGGGCTCCGGTGTGTGTGTGTTTGTTTGGGGGAGACGTTGGCGAGCTAATGTTGATAGTGATAGATGTGTCTGTTTTTATTGTGTTGCCGTTGGTTACGGCCTACAGTGTTCAAGCTGTGGAGAATAAAGACCAGTAGTTAGTAACACATTAACACACACACACACACACACACACACACACACACACACACACACACACACACACACACACACACACTGATCAGTGTTCAGTTACCTTGTATCTCCCAGTGAAACGACGGTTATTGAGCTGACAGGTAAATAACTGCAGTACACACTTCCTGTCCTGAAACACACACACACACACACACAGTTGATCAATTAAAGGGGTGTGTGTGTGTGTGTGTGTGTGTGTGTGTGTGTGTGTGTGTCTGTTACCTCGACAACCTTATCTGGAAAGCAGACAGCAGCAGTGTGTTGCCAGGCAACAGGCCAGGTGGGTAGGGGGTGTGGCTCAAGTCCAGGTACACCTGGAGACTCCTCCCAGTTTGGTCACACACTGTGAGACGCACACCTGCGCGCACACACACCACACACACACACACACACACACACACACACACACACACACACACACACAGTGTACAGTTTCTGTCTGGACTGATATTGATCACTGATCTCAGACCTGGTCTTAATAAAGAGCAGCTAATGAAGCTACGCTAACTTCATCAACAGAAAAATAAATAAGAGAATGAAATGTGGGCTGTTAAATATCAGGTCTCTGTCCTCTAAAGCTGTTTTAGTGAATGAATTAATATCAGATTATGATTTACTTTGTCTTACTACCTTTGTCCCACGAGGGTATGTTAGCCTAAATGAGACCCCCCAGTCGTGGTAATACTCACATTCCTCGAGGCAGGGGTATGTGGAGTAGCCATAAATGATTGAGCGTTTTAATCGACCCTAAACCTAAACTAAATTAATTATTTGAAGCTGTTCTTAGTCTTTTCACCCAAACTGGAAAACACTGCAGCCAGTTCATTTGTTATAGTGTACCGCGCTCCTGGACCGTACTCTGATTTTATATCTGAATTTTCTGAGTTTCTATCAAGTTTAGTCCTTAAATCAGATAAAGTAATTATTGTAGGTGATTTTAATATTCATGTGGATGTTGACAATGACAGCCTTAGTAATGCATTTATATCATTAATAGACTCAATTGGCTTCTGTCAGAGTGTAAATAAACCAACTCATTGTTTTAATCACACTCTTGACCTTGTTTTATCATATGGCATTGATATTGAACATTTAATAGTCTTCCCACATAATCCTTTCCTATCTGACCATTATTTAGTAACTTTTGAATTCATACTATTAGATTATAAGCCATTAGGCAAAACTTCCTACAGCAGATGTCTATCTGACAGTGCTGTAGCTAAATTTAAGGAGGAGATTCCTTCAGTGTTTAATTCAATGCCATGTCTGAATTTAACAGAGTCCTATAACAACTTTAGTCCCTCTGACATTGATAGTCTTGTTGATAGTGCTGCTGTTTGTGTACCTACCTGTGTGTGTGTCTCCAGAGTCCCTCGTCCTGTCGTTCAGACTGATCCTGTCAGAAACCAGAGCCTGAAAACACACCAACTCTGACCTGAACACAGAGATCAATGAGAGGGTTAATAAAGATCTTCAGACTGGACAGGTGAGCGTCAGACAGGTGAGTGTCGGACAGGTGAGCGAGACAGGTGAGCGTCAGACAGGTGAGCGTCAGACAGGTGAGCGTCAGAGTTGTAAGTTTTTTTTCAATCAAATACACAGTACAGACCTCTGACCTTTATCTACACCACTGACCTCTTCTCCTGTATCTAAAGCCCTGACCTCTGTCCTGTACATATCCTGTCCTCTGTAACTGAATACCTATTGTGGAGCTATTGTCAGTAGAATTGTATGAAATGTTAAATGTAATGCATACAAAGCACAACTACCATTGGCAGGCCATTCAAATTACAGTATAATATTAATATCTCACTAACCAAACCTGAACCAGATATCAAAAAGAAAAGTAATATTTGAATCATGTCTGTCTGTAAAAATTAGTTATAACAATCCCAAAAATGTACGGAAGAAGAAAAACAATAATAAGCAAATAAAGACAATCAAACAAGAGATTATACTTATATTATACGACACATCAGTGTTTAACACCCACTGACTCGTTAACAATGTGGCATCAGATTGTGTTCATCATCAGTTTGTGTCTGTTTATGTTTGATTTGATGAAACAGTTGATGTCAGTTCTGGGATGTTCATTTGAACCACAGAATTAGAAATCAATCAGTGATCAATCAGTTTACCTGCAGTCCAAAAGCTCAGAGACAGACAGGACTGAGGGCGAGAGAGCCTGTGGACACGAGGAGAGAGAGAGAGAGAGAGAGAGAGAGAGAGAGAGAGAGAGAGAGACAGACAGACAGAGAGAGACAGACAGACAGACAGACAGAGAGAGAGAGACAGAGAGAGAGAGAGAGAGAGACAGACAGACAGAGAGAGAGAGAGAGAGAGAGAGAGAGAGAGAGAGAGAGAGGGAGAGAGAGAGGGAGAGAGAGAGAGAGAGAGATCAGTTTTAACTCTACAACACGTCATCATATATGTTCATATATTCTGTCTGATGTTACCTGTCTGTAGGAATGTCTTACCTGTCTGTGGGTGTGTGTTACCTGTCTGTGGGTGTGTGTTACCTGTCTGTGGGTGTGTGTTACCTGTCTGTAGGTGTGCAGCAGCAGTGGGCGTGTCAGAGTGTGGAACCTCCAATCAGGTTGGACCTGAAGGGTGGAGTCAGTGTGGAGCTCCACCCCGCTCCGCCCAGAAACACCACAGCCAATCAAAACACTGGGATCCTGATGGACAGACACACAGACCAATCAGCTGTCAGGACTCGTTTCAGAAACAAATATTCTTCTTCTCATTTCCAGTTGGTCTGAATCTGATCCACCAACCAACTCTCAGTCCCACTTTATCAATATATGATATTGATCAGAATACACTGTATCTTTATGGATGATATTGATCAGAATACACTGTATCTTTATGGATTATATTGATCAGAATCTGTCTGTATTATTAGTGATGTGACGAGCAGTCCGGGCTCTGATTGGCTCTCCTTCAACAGCTTACCTGAGTGTTAGCAGCGATGAGCCTGTAGAAAGATCCAGGCTGGAGGAGAGGAAACCAGCGAGCTGACACACCTGAGAACACCAGCACCACCTGCAGACAGGTAACCAGGTGACACACAGGTGACACACGGGTGCATGATGGGATGTATCCGAGGTGTGTTTATATTTCTCACCTTGCCTTCCTTCTCTGTCTCTCTCTCTGTCATTGGTCTGTTTTTCGGGTCCCGCCCCCAGCTGACCACTGGACCAATCACAGCAGCTCTGACAGAGAAGCACAGCGTCAGACCCGCCTCCCCTTCCTTTAACTCCGCCCCTGTGTTCCTCCAGGCCACGCCCTCCTTCCGCTCCACCCTGATCACCATGGAGACAGAGGGCTGGGAGTCGCTGCCAGGGTCAGTCGTCATGGTGACAGAGGAGGAGGCAGAGTGAGAGGAGTCTGGTTCTTCTCTTCTTCTCTTCCTTCCTGCAGTCTGTCCTCCCTCCGTCTCTTCTTCTGCTGTCTGTTTCCTACCTGTGACATCACCTCCTGACTCCTCCCCCTTCAGTTGCAGGTGTGTAACCATGGCAACAGATGGACTCAGGATGTGGAGATGGTCCAGAGAAAACTGCAGGTAGACTCTGTAACACACACACACACAGATTTAAATTCTGTCTGTCTGTCTGTCTGTCTCCTCCTGTCTGTCTGTCTGTCTGTCTGTCTGTCTGTCTGCCTGCCTGTCTGTCTGTCTGCGTACCTGCAGTGTTTGTGTGTGATGTATTTGTCCTGGTCCAGGTGTTGGTAGGAGGGGAAATCTGATTGGATGAATCTCTCTGTTACCATGGTGAACTGTCGGACACACACCAGACAACCTGCAACACACACACATTTATTTCAGCAGCAGTCTTCAGGCTGCGTGGTGACCTTTGACCTCTGTGTGTGTGTGTGTGTGTGTGTGTGTGTGTGTGTGTGTGTGGGGTACCGATCCAGGCGGTGTTGAAGGCCGCCCTCTGACCTCCCCCCTCTTCCTCTCTGGTTTCCGTGACGACACAGGCCACGGCTCCCGTCCTGTCTCTGAGCTGCAGAGCGGGTTCAGACGTCTGTGATGGGAGCTCCAACACCCCGACCAACAGCAGGGGGCGCTGCCTGTCAGACAACACAGAGGGCACAATGTTCACTTACTCATCATCTATATAATAACAGACCATAATGCAGCTGTAAGCAGATCTAAGGACACATTGACGTGTTTACGTTCAGTATTTGCTGTTTTATTATACGTAATGTCAGGAGGAGTTCTCATCCAATAATATATTCAGAAACACTTAGTACATGTTCACAGACTGATTCTACAACCTGATAAACAGCGTTAAACTAAAGTGTTACCAATAAAGGTTGAATCTGAATCAGTCGTGTCACCACAGACCTCAAAGATAAAATAAAGTTACTGTTTGTGTTCTTTACTGCAGTATTTGTGTTTACTTCACTCACTGTAAATACTGTCCTATGTGTCTCTCCAGGTCAGAGGTCAGAGTTTACCTGAGTCTGTCTCCACTCTGGGGGTTGTTCTGGGGGTCAGAGGTCAGAGTCCTGCAGGACCAGGCTAGTGCTGTGTTGATCTGAGATCTGGTCAGACTGGATCCACCAGAAGGCAGCAGAGAGCTCAGAGACAGTGAAGACCAGCAGTCTGATTGTAGAGACTGACTGAGCTCTGATACACTGATGTACTGATGGACGGCAGGGTCAGCATGGTACTGTAGAGACAGAGACACTGCAGGGTCAGTATGGTACTGTAGAGACACTGCAGGGTCAGTATGGTACTGTAGAGACAGAGACACTGCAGGGTCAGTATGGTACTGTAGAGACAGAGACACTGCAGGGTCAGTATGGTACTGTAGAGACACTGCAGGGTCAGTATGGTACTGTAGAGACAGAGACACTGCAGGGTCAGTATGGTACTGTAGAGACAGAGACACTGCAGGGTCGTATGGTACTGTAGAGACACTGCAGGGTCAGTATGGTACTGTAGAGACAGAGACACTGCAGGGTCAGTATGGTACTGTAGAGACACTGCAGAGTCAGTAGAGGGTCCACACTGTACTGTAAGGTGTATCTACCTGTGTCAGAGGACAGGTGTGGGGCTCATCCAACATCTCTGAGTAGATATCTCTCCTTCCTCCTCCTCCTCCTCCTTTCCTCACACACTCCATCAGCTTCCAGGACAACACACACACACACTGCTGCTTCATCACACTGGGGACAGCAGACAGACAGACAGACAGACAGACAGACAGACAGACAGGTGAGTATAAAGTTAAAGGTTACTTTATGAACACTTCCTGATCCTTCCTGTTATTATCACTCACCTGTGTGTGAGCTGTGAGCTCAGGTAACAGGTCCACAGGTACCCGGACACGCCTGTGTTTTTCTCCAACAGTAACCGTGGTAACACTCCATCACTGGGGCAGCTGGAGTCAGGTGGTGACCCCCCCACCCTGCTGAAGGCGGTGACCCTGAGGCTGGAGCGCAGACAGGTGCAGAGCATGCTGGGAGGAAAGTCAGGACAGGGCCGGTACAGGAAGTGGACGTGGTGGAGCTTCAGAGAGATCATCAATAAATCATTCAGATTATTATTGATCACAGTCAGCTGTTAACGTACGCTCACATCACATTCAAGTTCACCTCTCTCTCCTAACAGAGGACATGGTGTCACAACTCTGATTACAGGTAATAAATATTGATCAGTGATCACAGATTGTAAACAGTTTGTAGTCTGATAATGAGCTAATGATGAAACTTTATATGAGCCACAGTTGAACTAAATGTCTAATGAGAACATGATGGACTGATATTCACCTCGTCTTTGTTTCATTGAGTATTTACTGATTGAGTTTCAGTGTTATTTCTGCTTATGTTTGGAGAACCAACCACTGTAGTAGAGTAATACAGCTGCTGATCAGCAGAGCATGAGGATGTCCAACAAAGTGGACTGATGTGGATTCAGTTTCAGAGTTTTATTGTTTTAATATAGAACTAATGAATTCTATGACTTTATATGTAACCCTTGTTTGGTGCAGCTGTTCCCCAACAGACACGTTCTAAGACACAACATTAGTCTGAATATCAGCATAATGTAAAAGAGCTAAAGTCAAAGGTCAAATGATGGAAATCAGACATTCCTGATGTGAGGAAGGTTACAGTCTCCTCATCACTGATCAGTGCTCGTGGTATTTCTCACACTGTGACACTGCAGCTAAACCTCCACTGGGACTCACTAACCTCCACTGGGACTCACTAACCTCCACTGGGACTAACCAACCTCCACTGGGACTCACCCACCTCCACTGGGACTCACTCACCTCCACTGGGACTCACTAACCTCCACTGGGACTCACTAACCTCCACTGGGACTCACTCACCTCCACTGGGACTCACTCACCTCCACTGGGACTCACTAACATCCACTGGGACTCACTAACCTCGCCTCCACTGGGACTAACACCTCCACTGGGACTCACCTCCACTCTAACCTCCACTGGGACTAACTCACCTCCACTGGGACTAACCAACCTCCACTGGGACTAACCAACCTCCACTGGGACTAACCCTAACCTCCACTGGGACTCACCTCCACTGGGACTCACCTCCACACAGTCTCCTGCTCTCAGTTTCCTCCTCAGAGTCGGCTGATAGGCCAGGCACAGTCCCACCTTCCCGTCAATCACATAGAGCCCCGCCCCCTCACTCACCACCTCCGTCACAGTGCCCTATCAGAGCAGAGGGGCGGGACTTACCACACAGTTAACAATACAGCAGGTAACATTCTCACAGCCAATCAGAGCTCAGTGTTTTTACCTGGTAACTGATGACTCTGGACCGTTTCATGCTGACAGCTGATTGGACGGAGTCTCGGTCAGGCTCCGCCTCATCACAGTCGTCGTCATCGCTGTGTGACATCATCAGTGGTGGGGGCGTGTCCGATGGTGTGTGTGTGTAGTCTGGGGGAGTGTGTGTGTAGTTTGTGTGTATTTCAGACTGGTCGGTCGCACACAGGATGTTGTTTCCTCTCCAGCCTCGTAGGACACACACACGCAGCGCCGTCACGCACACACTCTGACCAACACACACACACTGAGTCCCCACGACGCACAACGACTGCTGACTGACAACATACAGACAGACAGACAGACAGACAGACAGACAGACAGGGTCACTACCACTCCACTTTAGAGCACTGATCAGCTGATTGATAATCCATCAGCTGAAGCAACGAGACAGTTTTTATTTACATTTGATTAGTTAGGTTAGACCACAGTGTTCAGTTTTATATTAACAGACCAATGAATAAAAGAGTGTGTGTGTGTGTGTGTGTGTGTGTGTGTGTGTGTGTGTGTGTGTGTGTAACATATTCATTCATACAATTCTACTGACAACAGTTTCACAACAATACGAAGTTACAGAGGACAGGGAATTGATCAGTGCTGTAGATACAGGGCAGAGGTCGGTGTTGTAGATACAGGGCAGAGGTCTGTGTTCAGAATCTCCTCTAATCTGCGTCGGCCTGACTGACTTCCTGTCTGGTGAAACAATGTTGGTCTAGAGTGAAATTCAATCTGTAGTCTGCACTCTGGATTTTATTTTGAAAATTGTCTGGATTCTTTATGCAGTTTCTGTGTCTGACTTCCTGCCAGTGAGATCTGCTCTATGCTGGTTGATGCGAGGGGGTCGCAGCTTGAGTCATAAACAGACCAGCTGAATATTTTCCACGGAGCAGAGCGGTGAGACGGAGCTTCAGGTGTGATTCAGAACAGGTGTGATCAGCTCCGGTGGACGCGGTGGAACGTATGTGGGGTTCAGTCTGTTCTTCATCACTGAACTGATGATCATCATCATCTCATGTTCCCAGAGACTGACTGTCTGAGTCTAACACCTCAGGCTGCTAACTGGGACAAATATTGATCAATCTGATCGACAGGCGAAGACACAACAGGAAGTGACATCACACACAGAGTTTCCTACCTTGACGAGGACAGGTAGACTGAGTGAGCCGTCTGTCAGTGACAAACAGAAGAAGGTTGTTCCTGCCACAACCAGCAGAGGGCAGACTGAACCCACCTGACCACAGACAGACACACGCTGGCCACGAGTCCTGAGAGACAGACAGGCAGAGAGACAGACAGAGAGAGAGAGAGAGAGAGAGAGACACAGACAGACAGGCAGAGACAGAGAGAGAGACAGACAGACAGAGAGAGAGAGAGACAGAGAGAGAGACGAGAGAGAGAGAGAGAGAGAGAGAGAGAGAGAGACAGAGACAGACAGACAGACAGAGAGACAGGCAGACAGACAGACAGACACTGTCGATCCTTGCTCCTTCCAGACTTTATAAATACTGTGACACCTCAGAGGTCAGAGGTCAGGTGACCCACCTGTTCTGTAGTAAACCAGCAGCCTCTCTGACTCCAACTGCTCTGCTAAGCCCCGCCCCTCCTCCAGGACCAGCAGCCAATCCCAGCTCAGGACCGGGACACAGCACAACAGGAGAACCAATCAGCTCCAAGTAGCCTCCAGCCTGGTCCTGGTCTTGCCCCGGGGCATTGTGGGGGATGTAGTTCCAGTGAGGCAGGAAGACGGGATGATTCAGCCACAGAGGAGAAGGAGACAGGCACTGGACAGACAGACAGACAGACAGCTGTTAAACGTTTCTGGTCCAACAGACGAGAAAAGTAAGACTGTAAACACATCAACACAATAACATCAGACCCTGAACGCACCACGCTGCAGGTGTAACGCCCTCAGACCCTGAACGCATCACGCTGCAGGTGTTACGCCCTCAGACCCTGAATGCACCACGCTGCAGGTGTTACGCCCTCAGACCCTGAACGCACCACGCTGCAGGTGTGTTACGCCCTCAGACCCTGAACGCACCACGCTGCAGGTGTTACGCCCTCAGACCCTGAACGCACCACGCTGCAGGTGTTACGCCCTCAGACCCTGAACGCACCACGCTGCAGGTGTTACGCCCTCAGACCCTGAACGCACCACGCTGCAGGTGTTACGCCCTCAGACCCTGAACGCACCACACTGCAGGTGTTACGCCCTCAGACCCTGAACGCACCACGCTGCAGGTGTTACGCCCTCAGACCCTGAACGCATCACGCTGCAGGTGTTACGCCCTCAGACTCACCTCACACCTGACGCTGCCGCTGGCGTCCGTCAGCCTCCACTCTCCGCCCCGCCCCTCTCTCAGACAGCCAATCAGCAGCAGGTTGACCCGCGGCAGAGCCCGGTGACCCGGCAGAGAAAGCTCCGCCTCCTTCGCCCACGCTCGCTGCTGATTGGTGCTCCAGGACAGGTTACTGACGCAGGCCAGGTGCTGGCGGGAGAGCAGCTCGGACACAGACACGGGCCTGGTGACGGGGTCAGGAGGGGTCAAAGGTCAACATACCAACAACAGAACCAGAAGAACCAAACATATGTTCTGTGGTCGTACCTGTAGCTGACAGGTAAGGTGTGTGTGACGGACATGTTCTCCTTTATCTTCTTCACCACACACACACTCAGCTGGTCCGAACACACACCTGAAACAGGCATTAAACAGACGTTAAACAGACATTAAACAGGCGTTAAACAGGCATTAAACAGATATTAAACAGACATTAAACAGACATTAAACAGACATTAAACAGACATTAAACAGGCATTAAACAGATATTAAACAGGCATTAAACAGGCATCAAACAGGCATTAAACAGATATTAAACAGACATTAAACAGGCATCAAACAGACATTAAACAGACATTAAACAGATATTAAACAGACGTTAAACAGATATTAAACAGGCGTTAAACAGACGTTAAACAGGCATTAAACAGGCATTAAACAGACATTAAACAGACATTAAACAGACGTTAAACAGACGTTAAACAGGCATTAAACAGACATTAAACAGATATTAAACAGGCATTAAACAGGCATTAAACAGGCATTAAACAGGCATTAAACAGGCATTATACAGGCGTTAAACAGGTATTAAACAGGCGTTAAACAGGCGTTAAACAGGCGTTAAACAGGCGTTAAACAGACGTTAAACAGACATTAAACAGACATTAAACAGGCATTAAACAGGCATTAAACAGGCATTAAACAGGCATTAAACAGATATTAAACAGACATTAAACAGGCATTAAACAGGCATTAAACAGGCATTAAACAGGCATTAAACAGATATTAAACAGACATTAAACAGGCTTAAACAGACGTTAAACAGACGTTAAACAGATATTAAACAGATATTAAACAGACATTAAACAGACATTAAACAGACATTAAACAGACATTAAACAGACTTAAACAGACTTAAACAGACATTAAACAGACATTAAACAGACGTTAAACAGGCGTTAAACAGGCGTTAAACAGACGTTAAACAGACGTTAAACAGACGTTAAACAGACATTAAACAGACATTAAACAGGCATTATACAGGCATTAAACAGGCATTAAACAGGCATTAAACAGGCATTATACAGGCATTAAACAGGCGTTAAACAGACGTTAAACAGATATTAAACAGACATTAAACAGACATTAAACAGACATTAAACAGATATTAAACAGACAAACAGACAAACAGATATTAAAACAGACATTATACAGATATTAAAACAGACATTATACAGGCATTAAACAGGCATTAAACAGATATTAAACAGGCATTAAACAGATATTAAAACATCTGTGAACTTCACTGCATTTGTGTGTGGGTTTTTTGAGATGTTAAGTGATCCCATTAAATGATACCCTCAAATCTAGGCTGAAAGGGAAGGAGCCATCTGATTGGCTACAGATAATTTCCTGTTGAAAACAATGCATTTATGAGTGAGCACAAGCAGTCTGTAAATGCAGGTTCAACAGTTGGTATATAAATGTAACATCCAAATATGTTTTTGATGAAAATTGCAAATACTTTTACATACATATATTTGTGGATTTCTACTACATTTATTTAAAACACTGTTTGCATCAGAAATACATATACGTGAACCTTATTTTTTTATATGTGTATTTATATTTTTGTGCATTAAAAAATATTTTTGTGTAGAGACACATTTATATATAAATCCCAAAATACATTTGTGAATCCTGTGTGCATTCATTAATATTGAGACTGATCTGAGTCCATAAAAATGGGCTTACCTTTGAGTAACTTGAACATGCATCCAACAGAATGGAGTAACCTGCTTCGCAATGCTTTCATACACAGCTACCCGCACAGGGAAGAGTGGATCAGATACACTTTTCTTTACTTCTTGATATGACCTGCATTTAGGCTCTGGGAAATCTTTCGAGCGACCGCTTCAACATATGTCTGCACATGTGGCCACATGAGAAGTGCTCGGTTGCAGACGTCGATGTTCTCAATCCCACGATGCTGACAAAATTTCAGCATAAAGGTGTCACTGCCTGTGACCTTAGTGTAGTCCTCTCTACGGGCAGGACTGTCTTTGAAAAGCCAGTACAGGCTAGACAGAGCATGTTCAATGTCCCAGCCACTTGCTTTGCACCCATCCCGGAATGCATTATGCATAACGTGTAATCCACGTGATCCAATATTGAGCAGAGATTTGTTCACATCGCTGAGAACTTCTTTCTGTAGCATGCCAAATATTTTCCAATTGACATGAGGACCGTCCAATCGACAGTTGAACAAGATTTTTCTCTCCAATCCCATCAAGAACGGGAATCATTTTGTCAACAACATCACGTGCAGTTGCATGACCAAAAAACTCAGAGCCAACATACCGCGTCCGCACCTCTCCACCATCCCAAATGCGAACATGCAAGTCCATCTGTTTCCGCTGCAATTCATGGTTCAGTGACTCATCAAATAGCATCACATATCCAGTTTGTCTTGATATCTCTCTAACGAGGAGAGATTTGAAGTAAGGTGCAACATAGAATGTAAACTGTCTAGTGATCTCACTGTCTGGGAACATTCTCGAAAATAGGCCCCCGACATTGCTGCAGGAATTGTATGAATAATGTGAATCTGCCACCTTAAGAGCCCAAAGTATCTCTGCGGCCGAAGTCGCGGTAGCAATGGGTGCTGGTATTACTTTTAAAGTGCTTTGCTTAGCTGTAGCAACCACGCTCATGTTGGAGACAGACCCCGGTCCACTTGCTGGTCCGTGGTTTTCGTCGAGTTGAAAAACGCCTGGATTGGTAGGCCATCTCTCGCGGTCTTCTCGTGTTGGATGTGTTTCGTTCCCTTAGCATGACTTGTGAGGACTGCGTCCCCCATATTGCTAACATCAAAGCTTACATCTCGCACGTTGGTCATTGTCTTGTTTGGTTTTTAACCAAAGTTTGTATCGGTCTTTAGTGAGCCATGAAATATTAAATGCACACTTGCCTGGCATTATTCAAACATCATTACGTTACGTTAAAGGCAAGAGTAGGGTTTTCCTAAAAAACAATGTATAGACTAAAAAAATCCCTCTTATAAGCTTATGTGTACTTTTTTTTTTTTTAACGTTTTGGTGTAATTTTAATTATCATCTGCTGCCTCTCTGTGCTGCTCTGTGTCCATGACAACCCCGACACTGAGAGCAGAGGAACTACGCTCTCTACTGCAAGTGCAATAAAACATTCACAAGTAAAAAGCCAATACTTTATCAATACTCCTGTTCAACATACAGATACAGATACATCACTCATTTTCCTGCAGGTAGTTAGTCATTTGTCGGTGTGTGATGCTGCAGGTGGTACTCTGGGCTGTGTTCTGCTGCCTGGCAACCGAGCTCTCTGTTTACAAACCGCTGACGGCAAATCCTACCGTTCCTGCCGTTATGTTACATTACGTGGAAGGTTATCCACTGTAACAATTTATTTCATTTCACACATCAAAATTCCATGACTTTCCCAAAACTTTAAAGAATTTTACTAAATTCAATGACTTTTCCAGGTTTTCCATGACCGTGGGTACCCTGTGTAAGGTGTCTGTAAGCACGAGCCAATAGTATAGTTCATATTCAGCTGGAATATAAATGATGTATTAAGAATCTCCCAAGATGGAGGAGGTTATATGTTTGTGACGGATAATGTTCCCACCGTTCAGAGAGACGCTCTTGTTGTCTGTGTCTGAATCCCTGCGAGGATCTTCTCCTTTGTATTCTGTTGTTTTTATGTTCATATGGGTTATTATATGATCGTTGTTGTTGTTGTTGTTGTTGTAGTAACATGTTGGATGTATTGCATCGTCTTTAATTAATAAAGTCGTTGTTAAACTTTGTTTTGATTTGTGGTAACTTGTATTCGGACGCTTATTAATACTTTATTAATACTGAATGTGCTGTTATCTGCTTTAATTTAAAATATAAGTTGAGTAAGTTATTAAATGTAGTGAATGAATATCTGCAGTTATTATTATTTATTCATTAAATTCCTCACAGCAGGAAGCTGATTGGCTCACTCACCTGTGATGACGTCGTCAGCAGCCGGGGGGGCGGGGCCAGAGAGCACAGGTTGTATGTGTTCAGTGATGAAGGTGAAAATGTCCTTTAACCAGAGCGCCTCCTGCAGGACGAACATAGAACTACAATCAGCTACAGGATCGATATCTGACTAATCTCATAGCTGCCAACTTTTTAAAAAACCTTGGAGTGAGATTTTGTCGGGGGTGACCAAAATGATGCCGCACACGCAGCCACACAAGTTGGTGGCTCAGATATCAGAGGATTGGAATTCATTTGATGTTGTACCCATGTTGCATTCTGGTGGTTTGTGCTGAGGCCCAAAGCCGCTGATAGGGGCAGCCGACTGGAGATGGACAATATTGGTTACATTCTGAGAAGCAGACATAGCTGAAGGTCCACCCACAGGACATTTTGGATTAAGTAGATGTGATTTCCTGCATTCTAGTGGATTGTTGGGTGGTCTGCTAAAGATGTGCAATACCTGAACTTATTCTGATTCCTGTTCGGCATCATGACTTGTAGGGCCTTCTAGACTTGAGCTGAACATTCAAACAGAAAACTATTGTTGTGCCTAAATGACTGCCTGTATCACAATAAAGCCTTATTCATAGACCAGTGTTTAAGATTGGACCTAGGTACCTGTAGGTTGATTGATATGTTGATTAGAATGGTATTAAACTGATATCTGAGCATGCAGTATACCACGAGGTTAACAAGGTGCTCTCCTGCTGCTTGTTATGACAGCTTTCACCACACTAAATCATGTTCACACGCACAAACAAATAATTTATATCAAGATTTAAAGTTTAAGAGAGTGAGTACACAATTGGATGACGGTCGGTGGTCCGAGACAGATGTTTGCGATGCGAGTGCACCGGTAGCTTCAGTGTGCATCGGATATAACTGCCGGCTAAATGCGCAATGTATCTTTCTTTGGGTGTCTGCATCGGTAAAACCCATGGTTACATCGGTTATTACACAGTTCATCTCCTCTGCACCCATGTTGTCAAGGCGCCTTGAACGCACCATCACTATCTTTTTGCGCGGCGTCGCAGACGCAGTTAGTTAGTAAACAGAAAAAATGGAGGGAAGCGACACAACAGGTGAAGAGGAGATATTAAGCGTACCTTGGAAGACACACAACTCCAAAGTTTGAAAAGAAAGACCTCTAGTTGATATAGCTCAGTGTGAGTGATGTTTACAGTTGCTGTGGCTGTCAGTCAATAGTTTATTTTTTAACTCTTACATCTGTAAGCAGTTGTAATTGTTCTGTTATATTGTCGTATGAATCTCAATGATCTCTGCTCTCACTGCTCAGTTAGCCAACTAGAAGAGTGTCAGCTCAACCCCATCAGTGTGGCAGCAGTAATTTGCACATTGTTGATGTTGGGAAGTTTTATATGAAATTACAGACAGAGAACACTATTAGTAAAAGGACCTGAGAAAAGGACTGTTTGTTTTGTTTTTATTAAGAGGCCAAAAAGAAATTGCCCGAATATAATACATTTAGTGTTGTATAAGTAGAGAATGAGATTAAAAACACATGTAATGAAAAAAAATATTTTTGTTTATGATTTAGTGTTTATTAGGAATAAAACAATCCTCTGTCTGCACCATACTGAATTACATCTTCTTTTTAAGTTGGATTTATTGGTTTGCTTTATAGAAAACAATCAAGTATCAAATACATTAGAAACCAGATGTGGGCTTGTAAATTCTTTGTATTGTGTTGAATCGTATCGAACCGAACCGCATTGTATGAAGTTGGTTTTGGACGGTACCAACTGCAGGGGACCGAAAGATCGGATTTTGTTTGAGAAACTGGATGTGTGGCGTGAGTGCGTGTGAGAACAGACAAACCGTGTTACACGGCGAAAGCGTGAGAGCGTTTATCTACTGTGTGACCGCAGCTTAATGTCCTTATAACTCCGCAGTGTTTAATATTCAGTTGCTCATATAGGAGCCGATGTTAACAGGACACATGACTAACTGTAGAATAATAATTGTTGTTATTATTTAATGTGTCTGTCGCCGCTCAGGAGCTAAACTTTATTAAATTGGCACATTTCCAAGAGCGGTGTCGGCTGTGGAGGCTACCAACGGAAACTCACGGCTTCCCCGCTGGGTGTGAACTGATCCAGGACCCGCTGCAGGAGCTCCATGTCCACAGTCCGGACGGCTGCTCTTACTCTTTATTACTTATTCAATATGAAACGTGTCGTTGTTCAGACTAAACAACCGACCTGTTCCCGCTAAACGCCTCAAACACTACTTCCTGTTCAACTACGGTGTCCGCAGAGGCTCAAAGCAGGACGAGTTCTTTAAACCTGTGTTAACCTATTTATTATAAAGTCTGTGGTTGTTATATTATAATATAGTAAGATAATATTATTGGACATCCTCTGATTACTGAAGCTTATAAAACAGGAATATTATAAAGTTAATAATAAGAAATGATTTTCAGCAGAAAGTGAAATAATTCATTAATTATTGAAGGTAACTTGTTCTAGTGAGACAGAGGTCAGTTAAATTTGTTATAATTGTTGTAATATTATATTTTTTCCACATTTCTATGTTTGTATTGTGTGTAAACTTACTGTGGATGTGCAGTTTGTGAGAGAGATTGATCACTAATTCACTATCAGGAAATATAAACGTTGGTCATTCTCTTGTTTGGTTTCTAACCAAAGTTTGTATCGGTCTTTAGTGAGCCATGAAATATTAAATGCACACTTGCCTGGCATTATTCAAACATCATTTCAGCTCGCTGGCCTACGTGGAGGGAGAAACAGAACGCGTGGAGAAAGAAAGAGGCGTGACGTGCAGCTGTCACCTTGTCAGGTGTCGCTGCATATTAGAGCTAACGTTACGTTAAAGGCAAGAGTAGGGTTTTCCTAAAAAACAATGTATAGACTAAAACAATGCCTCTTGGTTTATTTATTTTAGAACCAGCAGAGAACCAGCAGATAACCAGCAGAGAACCAGTAGAGAACCAGCAGAACCAGCAGAGAACCAGTAGAGAACCCAGCAGAGAACCAGTAGAGAACCAGTAGAGAACCAGTAGAGAACCAGCAGAGAACCAGCAGAGAACCAGCAGAGAACCAGCAGAGAACCAGCAGAACCAGTGATGCGAGCTCTAGGGGGCGGAGTTACTGTAACTGTGTCATTGAACCATAAAAGATAAAAACAGTGAAACAGTTTATTAACTATTACTGACACTGATAATCAATGATTGATACACATATTGATCAGGCTGCTGCAGAGGAAACACCCTCCACAATAAAAGTCTGTCTGAGAGCTCGACACTGTGTGTCAGTGTGTGTGTGTGTATCAGTGTGTATCAGTGTGTGTATCAGTGTGTGTCAGTGTGTGTCAGTGTGTGTCAGTGTGTGTATCAGTGTGTGTATCAGTGTGTGTATCAGTGTGTGTGTCAGTGTGTGTGTCAGTGTGTGTATCAGTGTGTATCAGTGTGTGTCAGTGTGTGTGTCAGTGTGAATCAGTGTGTGTCAGTGTGTGTGTGTGTATCAGTGTGTGTGTCAGTGTGTGTCAGTGTGTGTATCAGTGTGTGTATCAGTGTGTATCAGTGTGTGTATCAGTGTGTGTCAGTGTGTGTGTGTATCAGTGTGTATCAGTGTGTGTGTCAGTGTGTGTCAGTGTGTGTATCAGTGTGTGTATCAGTGTGAATCAGTGTGTGTATTGTGTGTATTGTGTATGCTCCACACGTCTCCGTTCAGGGCGTTGGCGGCGCCCTGCAGCGTCCAGGTAAAAAAGGCGAGCTGTCGTCTGAAGCGTTTCTCGTCGAAGCGTTCGGGGTCAGAGGTCAGCAGGGTCAGGTGCTCAGTGAGCGCGCTCAGAGTGTGGTCGCCGCGGCCGTGGATCACGTGACGGAACGGCGTCTCCACCACCGACACATACTGAGACAGGAAGTAGTATTCCACCTGGACCACAGACAGGAAGTGAATGTTATTAATAAACTCTGTAGAAGCAGTGTCAGTACTCCCATGATGCAGTGCTGTAGCAGTGTCAGGACTCCCATGATGCAGTGCTGTAGCAGTGTCAGTACCCTCATGATGCGGGTGTTGTAGAAGCGTGCAGTGGTCGGGTCGTGCAGGTCGCTGTAGTCGATGGCTCTCTGCAGCGTCTCGGCTGCTCGGCTATAATCTCCTCTGGCACTGAAAACCCAGTGAGGAGACAAACCTCTGGACTGGAGACAGACAGACAGACAGACAGACAGACAGCTTACACATTGTCTCACTGTCACTGGTTGAACTGGGAACCAGTCTAAATGGGTTTCCAATATGAAGTCAATATCAAACATATTGAGGCCACAGTGGATTTATAACACAAACAGTTTGTACATTGTACTTTGACTCTGGGCTGTTTATTTATTGGTAATGAGACCATATAGTGTTTAATATATAATGAGATATTTAAGTAAGGAGGGGTGAAGTTGTATTGTTGTTTAAGGTCAAAGGTCATGCAATAGCTGCCACAAATAAAATAATAAAGTACAGTTTCTTATTGGAGGAGACCAAAACTCAGAGTGGAATTGAACTGTTAGTGGAGTTTGTGAGAGCAAACGTTAATGAGGACGTAAGAATGAACGCTGTGTGGAATCAGACAGTAAGAATGAACGCTGTGTGGAATCAGACAGTCAGAATGAACGCTGTGTGGAATCAGACAGTCAGAATGAACGCTGTGTGGAATCAGACAGTAAGAATGAACGCTGTGTGGAATCAGACAGTAAGAATGATTGCTGTGTGGAATCAGACAGTCAGAATGAACGCTGTGTGGAATCAGACAGTAAGAATGAACGCTGTGTGGAATCAGACAGTAAGAATGAACGCTGTGTGGAATCAGACAGTAAGAATGAACGCTGTGTGGAATCAGACAGTAAGAATGAACGCTGTGTGGAATCAGACAGTCAGAATGAAGCTGTGTGGAATCCTGTTGGAATCAGACAGAATGAACGCTGTGTGGAATCAGACAGAATGAACGCTGTGTGGAATCAGACAGTCAGAATGAACGCTGTGTGGAATCAGACAGTAAGAATGGAGGATTGATCTCGCTGCCAGCTGACACTCTCACGTTCCTCTGATGTGAAGAAGAACATGGAGGCTGACAGCAGTATGCGTGTGTACACACAGGAGAGCCAACCTGCAGCTCAGCAGAGTGTTTGTTGAGCTGAGCGCTGAACTGCAGCACGGTCTGGGCGTAGGAAGTGATGCGTAGCGGCAGGATGTGGTCGTGGGCCAATCGCAGCACCATCTCCCCCACCAGCTCCCCTAAGCTCCGCCCTGTGACCCCCAGACGACCCCCCAGCACCTCCTGTAGGCGGGAGGCGCTGTCCAGCGGCGTGTTGACGAACGGGTACGCTCGCTCCTGAACGGACACAGACACATGTGATGTCACCAACCTGTTACCTGTCACGTGACCTCGTGTAACATAACGAGACACAAAACGAGACACGTAGAGACGTGAGGAAGATAACTCACCGGGACTTTAAAGATCCACAGAATATAAAGTTTACCTCGGTGAATCTGAGCTCCATAGCTGGAACTCCTGCAAACGCTGTGAAACTGTACGCTCCACTGTTCAGGTACAGCGGCTTCATACTGAGGAGAGCAAAGTTTACACCAGATACAATTAGTTCATGAACCCTTCAGCTGAATCTCTCTTCCTCCAAACTGCAGGGGTCACTTATTGATGGGACGCTGGTGTGTGATTGGTGAGTGTCTCACATCCTCCAGCTGCCTCCCTCTCTCTCTGCCTGGCTGTAGATGGTCTGACCTGCATGTTTAGGATGTTCAACCTCACACACACACACACATTAAAACATCAATCAAACAACACCAGAAGACTTCATATAAAATCACATCTCACCACATCCATCCATATAAATATCTGCTGATTTATTACAATCACATATATTAATATTTGGTTTTATATGATATTATTATATATAAAGATATTTGAACTGAAATGTTATTGTGGCACAATTGTTGCCATTAAATTACAGTCGTAAAGTGAAAATAACAAAAACATAATACTGAGGACAAAGACTGAACATGGCAGTGAGAGTTTGGGGATACTATCAAAGCTCAAAGCAACGTTATTTTACAGTAAGTCACGACTTTTACTGTACACGCCTCAGAAATAATACTGAGGTTCAGACCTTGTTTGCTCACCAGAGGGGACGGTACTCAATAAGAGGGCGCTCAGTACCACAGACTGAAATATATTAACATATATAATCACACACATCTTCTCTCAGTAACATGTTCACCTGTCTGACAGCAGCGTCCAGCAGGTCGACCAGCAGAGGACTGGTGTAGGCCGACAGGACATCATCACCTGCAGACAGACAGACAGCTGTTTATTTGGTCCAATACAGAAGGTCTCCTGTGATTGGCTGAGAGCTGTGTGTTACCCATGATAGCCTGGTCCAGACTGAAGTAAGCTACAGCCTTCAGGTGGAGCATGGACAGGTAACCCTGGCAAACAGAGGTCAAAGGTTACTGCATTACTATGGCAACCACAAGGTCTTCCTAGCTATGATTTTAGGGAAGTGGTAAGCTGATCTTGATTTGATTTTCAAAATTGAATCAATATTAAAAAAAAATAGTAAAAGTTTTTTATGTCATGGATTCAAGGTGAGCACTTTGCATTCTTCTTTGTTTGAAACAAAAACTATTATTTTTCCTGTGTTCAGTTGTAGAAACATCCACTACTTTATATGTATGAGATATGGGCAGTATGCAGAAGATTAGAGATTTTATTTTAATATGATATAATATAATATAATATACAGATCTGGATACAGATACATAAACTTGTATACCATTGGGTCTTTGTGGATACAGGTCTTTTTGTCCAGTCTAAGGGACTGTAGTAATGTGGTGACACTTTGATGTAGAGTTGTGTGTCATCTGCATAAGGGTGGCAGGAAATGTTATAATATTCATTAGTTAAATTCTTCCTCCTGTGTGGTGTGTAACATGCACTCTGATTGGACGAACCTCCAACCATTCAGTAGCGCCAACGTTCCCAAACTCTCCAGCATCCCAGCTGACAAACAGCAAACTGCGTCTGGGACTGAAACCTGCAACAACCCAACAATGTGTACTGTTACTGCCTCACATACTAACACTGACAAAACTACTGCCATCATTCCAAACATAGTTTACATATATATATATATACAGTATATATACATAAAGTATATACATATACAGTGTATATACAGTATATATGTAAGGGATAATGCCCGACGAGGTGTCCATAATCAGGAATTAATGGACGACGCGGAGGCCTTAGAACCTTCCGACTGGAACAATCATTACCCTCCCGTAAGGTTCTGATGCAACAGAAACGTTGTTCACTCCTCCAGTAAATAGGACGGACCTTAGATACGACTTGGCAATGGGAGATACTCTAGTCCGCTCAGCTATGAGTCAGAGAGGTAACGTTATTCTAGCAAGATTCAAAGTCAATAACACTGCGTACGGTTGACAAACAGTAAATATAATCTGACAGTATGTTTAACAACAAGACTAGCTAGCTAACCAGCCATGTCATTGTCCCCAAATCAATATCAAGATTTTCACGAACTAATGATCGTGTGTAACGTTACTGTCGGCCACGGCATGAAGCAACGAGTTGAACAGCGAACGGGATGTGAGATGATCGCTTATGTAATACAAAGTATCAGTAAGTTTAGAGGGGAAGTGTGTTACAGTCGTAAGTAAGTAGTTGTCATATTCTCCAAATATGTTAAAAGAAATGTTGAAGTCACTCATTGTTGTTAGTTTGTTGTGGTGTTGCAATAAATTGTAAACGGAGGCTTTGACTGCGTTCCCGTTCCTATGGTTACTCATTTTAGAGACAGGCTGATACAGCAGCTAGCGCATTCATTTAGAACGGTGAACAGACAATTTGACTGGAACTACTTAGTAGGTGTCCATATATCAGGGATTAATGGACACCCTGCAGCCAATCAGAATCGAGTATTCCCCCAGACCATGGTATAAATACTGTATATATGTATATGTATATCCAGGTGAGTCTTACCGTTCTTCACCATGGCGGAGAACGTTCGAGCCAGCTCCAGGAGGATTGCTGTTCCAACTCCAGACTTCACAGCTCCTGGACTCAACGAGTCCCTCTGAGCTCCCAGTATGATGTACTGGTCTGACGGAGAGATGAACTGGTTTTTATTGATCCACTCATACAAAGTGTGAATCTCTCTCTCCAGTCAGTGAGTACCTGGCTCGACCCGGCCTTCCAGAGAGGAGAAGATGTTGTTGAGCAGGACCGGCGCCATCACGTTGTGGACCGACATCTTGACTCTGCGGCCGGAGCTGAACTCCGGACCGACCACGCAGCGCACATACGGCAGCCGACCCCGCCATGACGGAGGACAGGACGGACCTGACAGCTGGCTGAGACACAGAGAAACACAGTGAGGTCACAAAAACACCTGAGCAGGTAACCTGAGGGGGCGGGGCTCACCTGAGCAGCTTGGTGGCCACAGTGGCACTGATTGGGAGGGCTGGGATGAGGGGCAGGCCCGAGGACTGGATGGACGGGAACTGAGTGTGATTGAAGGAGGGAAAGCCGGGGGTGAAAGGGTCACCTGACCCCAGGTGGACCTGTGATTGCACGACACAGATGGAGATTCTGATTGGTCAGGAGCAGCGAGACATGGAACGTGTGTGTGTGTGTGTGTGTGTGTGTGTGTGTGTTACATGTTCGGACACAGCGGTGTGCATGTTCAGTCCGAGGCGTCGGGGGTCCTGCGGCAGGTCGGCGGGGTCGGGGTAGATCAAAGCTCCGCCCCCACCGTTCCTCTCAGCCAACCAGACCTTCTCAGCAAAACTGACCCCGCCCCCGACACGCATCACAACCACACAGCCAACTACAGACACGCCCGCGCTCTTCAGCCAATTAAAATCCTCTGGGCGGCCGTAGTTGGCGTAGACCACGCCCCCCTGCAGAGGGAGAGAGACAGGTAAAGATTGTATGGTGGTTACCATGGTGACAAACCCATTCTGTCTGTCTGTCTCACCGTGGTACTTCCTGTGGCGCTGTACGGACAGTAGTCAGACGGGTTCAGGGGAATCTGTTCGGAGATCAGTCCTGCAGAGTCCACCAACCACAGAGAGCTCCTCTGAGACCTGCAGACAGACAGACAGACAGACAGACAGACAGACAGACAGACAGGTGTGCTCTCCATCATCACTCTCCAACCTCTGGAATGAGCTCTGCTCCCTCTACCTACCTGTCGGGGAACTGCAGCGTGGCGTACAGCGACTCCGTCCAGGTGTGATCCATCTGCAGCTGTCTGAAGCGACGGAGGATCTCTGAGGCCAGAGACGTTCCCTCTGAGGAACCTGGAGGATGACTCGCTCTGCTGACCCGACTGAAGGTGACAAACACAAACAGTGACTGACAGCTTCTGGACTCCAGAGGATCCTGTCAGGTCACCTGCACTCAGGTCAGTCTGCTGATAGAAGGTCTCATATTAAGCTCACTGATGGAGCTGCAACTCGTAATCTCTCACCTGTTTCACCGAGTCTTCAATGGTCAAAATGTCGGAGTTTGTAACAGAGGAAAGAGAGGATCACCTCATCAGTTTACCCACGCTCCCCTGGACGGCTCGTTGTATGAACAGCTATCAGTTATCTAACTTTATATTAGGACGACTTCCTGTCTGTGGCTCCAAACTCATCGGTTCCTATAAGTTATAAATCTTTAAAAACACCAATGTACAGTTCCAGGTTTAATAAAGATAAAAAACTAAAATCAGCTGCTCGGTGTAGAGTTAACACACCGACAGGAGGACACAGTCAATCTGTCTTTCTACAGCAGATGAATCCACATTAGGGGCTTTAGTGAGTATTTGGGGCAGCAGGACGGTGTAGAAGTAACCACAGGCTGTGTTCAATAGAGTCCTGAAACATTCACCTTTTATTCTCCAATATCTCCCCCCCCACCCCCCCACCCTAACCCATCTGCTTCACTGCAGCTCTGTGTCGTTACTGAACGCCAGTGGTGCAGAGGGAGAAGATAGATCAGCCTCTGATATCTAATCAATAATCGATAAGTGTGAACATGAAGACAAATAAAGAATCAATCAGCCTGAAGCTCCACATTGTTCTGAACTCTCAGTGAACTCTGAACTCTCAGTGAATTGTGGGAGTTGGAGTTGAGACTGATGTGTGATGATAAACCACCTGACTGTGTTGAGGATATCTTCATCCTGCAGCAGCCTCCTCATCATCACCCTCAGCTCTCCCAGGTAAAGCCCCGCCCCTCCATCTGCAGGTGTGTTAGCCCCGCCTCCCTGCTGCCCATCCTCCTCCCCCTGCCCCCCCTCCTGGGAGCAGTGGTACCGCCCACCAAACACTGCGTAGGCCAATAGGAACGCTGAGAGGGAGACAGACCACGCCCACTTTAATCACATGATCAACTAATCAGTCTGTGTGTGTGTGTGCGTGTGTGTTTGTCTGTGTGTGTGTGTGTGTGTGAGTGTGTGAGTGTGTGTGAGAGTGTGTGTATGTGTGTGAGTCTGTCTCTGTGTGTGTGTGTGTGTGTGTGTTTACCTGTGATGAAGATGACGACCCCACTCACACACAGGAACACACCTGCTCTCTGGTAACCATGGCGATACCGCAGCACCAGTGCTGTGATGTCACTGATAGGCCCCGCCTCCACCTCCTCCTCAGCCTCTGATGTCACAAACCTCATCTCCACCCTCGGAGCTCCTCCCACCTCCTCATCCTCGGCCACGCCCACTGAGGAAGACTGGAGAGAGAGAGAGAGAGACGTAACCATGGCTACAGGTCAGAGGGGGAGGAGCTTTAAGTCCCACCTGTCTCACCTGTCTCAGACGAGTCCTGATGGCGTCCATGTCGACCTGCAGAGGACAGACAGACAGTTACTGTCAGTCTCTGCTAATGCTAATGCTAATGGAGCAGGAATGTTATTATTATTTAATATTTAATATAATTGTTGTTGTTCAGCCGGTCTCCGTGGTTCCCTCCACTCTCGTCCTCGGACACTGATGTGGAGTCTGAACACTGTCCCACATTAACTCCCTGTGATTGGCTCCTCCAGGGGTCAGAGGTCAGCTGGTGTTTGCTCTGGTTAACTTTATTAACAGTAAGTAAACACGCAGACGCTGAAACAAGCTGAACGTTGCTCAGTCTGCTGTCACTGCTTCAGGTGTCCTGCTTTATTTAAGGTGGTATTATCAGACAGACAGTTAAAGATCTGCTCACCTCGTTCTGTCTCCGTCCGTCCGTCTGCTTCAGTCTGTGTTTCAGTCTGTGTTTCTGTCTGTGTTTCTGTCTGTGTTTCTGTCTGTGTGTCTATCTGTGTTTCTGTCTGTGAATCGTCTGTGTTTCTGTCTGTGTTTCAGTCTGTGTTTCTGTCTGTGTGTCTGTCTGTGTTTCTGTCTGTGTTTCTGTCTGTGTTTCTGTCTGTGTTTCACCTTCAACCCCCCAGTAAAGCTCCTCCATCCTCAGATATAACACAGAGGTAACAGACAGAGACACAGTGTCTCTCCGTGTGGACAGACAGACCTTTATTGTAGGTAGAGGGACTGAAAGAGATCAATAACTGTAAATATTACCAGTAGAGCATTATAATAATATGAACTGTTTAATAAGGTGTCATTCTGTGTGGCCGGGAGTTTGATCCCATCCCAGGCCATTAATGCAAAACACCAAGAGTGAGTGAGGTTGGGAGCCTGCTGACGTTAGAGTGTAAGATAATAAAGAAAAGGCTCCACATGCACACACACACACACTCTCTGTTTCTTTACTACAAAATAAAAGTTTCTGCAACAACCTGTACTCTAATCACAGAACTGAAATGATGTTCCTGATGA